CTCCCCTCTCAGACCAGTAAAAATACATTTTTTAAAAAAATGGAAATAACTGAAAATTCATCAATATGAAAACATTCACAGACTGGACTGTTATAATGCAATTAAAATTATGTTTATAAAGAGTATTAATGTATAGGGAATTCTTATAGTATTTCTGAAGTGAAAATACATGACACAGAATTATCTCTAGAAGAAGAAGGTCTGTGTGTGATGAAATGTAAAGAAAAGGGTGTTTGGAGTTATTAGATATATCCAGGACCCAATGTGAGCCTTGCCACCTGTTGTACCTTGAGCAGGTTTTCTTACTGTCCTGAATTTCCATTTTAGCATTTGTAAAATGGCATTTTCAAAACTACCAACCTAACAGAATTGTATGTGAGGACCAATGAAAATATAGTGTTACTTTCAGTAAATGGTGGGTGATTACGCTGGTAGTAATATTAATAGGAAGGGTAGGAATTGAGACTTGAAACAATATCAGAAGAAAATAAGACACTGGCATGAGGGTTCAGTTGCCTTTGGTGACAGAACTCTATTTTTCTTCCTACTTTTCTCTTTTTATAAAACTTTCTAGAGTGGGAATGCTTTTTATATTGAAAAATCTTTAATTTTAAAGGTACTTTATGAAAATATGCTATGAGGTAAAACAAAAATCTATTTATTGCTCATCTAAGTAATTACTTAAATATAGATACTTAATACTGGTTGACTGTTATTGGTATAGTCAATAATATTCTTTTTAATCGATCCTCTTCCTACAGCCTGTATGTAAATACTAGTGGCAGGAATTTTCCCCTAATAAAGAGACAGAGATGCTGGCCAATGGTTAAGGACTTCAGAATAGGTTCTATTTGAAGAGTCTGCTTGTGAAACCTTTACTTTCATAGGGCTATCTAGCTGTGTGCTGTTTTCTTAATCTGGCTTGCCAAAACTTTATTTCTTCTAAGGTAAAGAGTCGATTCCCTTGAGTCTTCAAGGCAGGATGTAAAAGTTGGTCCCTATCTACGATTTTCATGAGCTCTCCTTTCCTAAGTATTCTCACCATTCCTGACCTTGGCTATACCACGAGGACCATCATGATGACTGCTGCACTCTGTTGTTCTAGGATTATTTTTGCTAATAACCAGGACTTATTTTCAGGAAATTAATTTTAATCAAATTGATAATATTCTCTTTACCAAAAATTCCTTTATTGTGTTTGGGTCAAAGAATGAGGCCTTCCATTGGATCATATTTTCTAATAATATAAAGATTGGATATTATCAACCTCAGAATCCCAACATGTTTAGCTACACATGGTATCGTATCCTTTGGTAAATATGAATAGTGCTCCACTAAAAATATGAGCCCTAGAAATGCCACAAGGGTAGAAATAAACCTCCCTTCCATGAAAATAGTTAGCTCAGTCCAAAGATGATTGACCCCAGTCACTTTCTCTTGTCTGGTAAACAGTATTATGAACCCATTGTACGAAGACATCAAAAAGATGACACAATGAGATCTAACACAATCCCTTAGAATTTTCCACATGTTTAAGTGCTTTTTAAAAGTGTGGGGGTGAGGAGGGAGAAGAGAGGAATTTCAGGTTGCTTTTGCTTCTCAAATTTCATTTTAAAAGGAGAACGTTTCTATCTCAAGTCTCCACTAAAGCAAAGTTGAGGCCTTCATATATGCTTTTTGTGTCACTTTAAAACAAACTGAGAAATATAAGACCCATGCCTTATCATTTATCCCTTCATGCAGGTATTGTCCAGTAGCATGTTTGGCTCTGGAATGTCACAAATAATCCAGCTCTTCCTTGACAAGATAGAAATCTTACGCCTCTGTGTAGTAACTCAAAGATGTTCTTATCAGTGAGCAATACTTAAAGCCAGCCTCTGTGTAATTTTCCATGAAGTCCTTTCCCACGGAAGGACTTTAGGTCAACTCACATTAGTCTCCACTTGCTCCAACATTATCCTATATGATAAAAGCCTAATGTGTAGCCGAAACCGGTTTGGCTCAGTGGATAGAGCGTCAGCCTGCGGACTGAAAGGTCCTGGGTTCGATTCCGGTCAAGGGCATGTACCTGGGTTGCGGGCACATCCCCGGTGGGAGATGTGCAGGAGGCAGCTGATCGATGTTTCTCTCTCATTGTTGTTTCTAACTCTCTATCTCTCTCCCTTCCTCTCTGTAAAAAATCAATAAAATATATTTAAAAAAAAAGCCTAATGTGTAAATTGTCCCTTCAACCAGGAGTCCAACCAGGGGGTGGGGCCAGCAGTGACAGGCGGTAGAGGAGGCAGGGGAAGGGAGGTCCCCCTGGCTGGCAGATGGCAGCCTCTAGAGACCCTACACATGCACAAATTTCGTGCACTCAGCCTCTAGAAGATTATAATCAATCAGAGCCTCCACCTAATTTTTTGAGTCTTTTTCTTTTCCTGAAGAAATAGTCTAAGACACTCACTGTAATAAGCTATGATGCTGCATATGAGGTCAGCTAAACTGTGCTATTGGTATGGGAGCTGGGAAAGCTGTTATCACAGGTCCCAGAAGGTGGCTATCTCCTCTAACCCAGGGTATGTTTTAAGAACATTTTGCAAGAAATCAGCAGCCTGATCTGGGAGGTGTAAGAAGCAAATACAAAGATCTTGATTTCTAATCTTTTTTTGTCTGCTTCAGTGAACAAATCTATTCAAAACAAAAACAAAAACAAAAAAACCTTTTCTTCCATACACCAAGTTTGTGGTTTTTAAAATCCAAACACCCGTAAAAGTTACTTGCTTATTTCTTGCTAGCCCTATTCATTTGTCATCAACAAATTGTCAACCTCTAAAATATTAGCTATATATAGCAGTGTGCTGGTAACCTGGCTCTCCAGGGAAAAGAAGAAAAAAAAAACCCAGGTTTTGTAGGGTTTGCCAATTTCCATGGTATAAATAGTCTTGCCACACCTAATTTCAAGTTACCAATGCAAAGGCAACCTACTTACAAAATTCCTGAAAATGTAACAAGCAGTTCTTTTATGAGCCAGCCTGAGTTGGCTCCAGCACATTCCTGGATATAAATTATTTTTTTAACATCTGAAGAATTTAGTGCACCTTAATTTATAAATGCTGCAAACAATCTGATGATCCTATCCTTTATTAAAAATTTCATTAGGTGGTGTATCTCCAGATAATTTAATGCCAGGATTAGCCATAGTTCTTCCAAACTCATCATTTTAAGAAAATTAATTGGAAGATTCACCTCTATTTGCTTATTGCAGAGAAAGTTTCTGAGAAGACACAAAGAATATTTGACAGAAATTGTCTTTTTACACAAACTGAGGTAAAAGTGGGCAATCCAGGGTGAGTATAGGGAAATATGCACCTACTTCTCTAACCAGGGAGCCAGCATTATTCACTATTAGTAAACAGAGACTCTTTAGTTTTCTCGACATTAATAAGAGGATATCAGACATTGTGGTTATCATGCCGTGGGCTAGCAATATCTACGTAGCACTAGTTTTATTTCAAAGAGTGAAAAGGCTATTTCAGATGGGATGATTGGGAAGTCTTCTTTGAGCTGAGGACTGCCTAACAGTAGAATCCAAAGATCGTGG